AGGCTGTAAAGTGCACTTGTGTTGATGCTATAAAGTACACTTGTGCTAAAGTTGTTATAAAGTGCACTTGTGTTAATATTATAAAGTGCACTTGCGCTGGAAATTGGAGGGATATCAATAGCAGTATATTTAAAATATACTTAGTTAGTATATTTAAAATAGTATATTTTAAATAGTATATGTTAGTATATTTAAAATAGTATATGGGCTTTTTTGTTTTTTTTTATTAAATTTTTATAAGTTTTCTCTTGATACAGTGAAAGAGTGTATATATAGTATATGGGTTTTGATGCAGATCAGTTTGTCAGCAAGAGTCCAGCCATTTGTGCTGTGGGTTTCTGTGAAGTTCCTTTTCATTGCAGGCAGATGGTTCAGTGAGCTGTAAGAGGACCGACTGTTTGGAGACGTGTCCTCACCCTATACGGATCCCTGGGCAGTGCTGTCCAGATTGCTCAGCAGGTAAATTTCTCCTACATGCCTTGTCTACATTGTGTTTGATTCCTGTAGTGTGCTCTGAATGGGGCAGCCCTTGAAAAGTGCTGATGTAGCTGCGCCATCAAAAGCATGCTTCTAAAAATATATGCATGTCTTTAGTGGCAAGAGCATCTATATTTTGGAGTTAGCCTCACTCTTCTATCCTTCTCAAAAAAAGTTGGAATTTTTCTACTAAGCAAAAGATTGAAGCAGCACTTGAAAAACATGGGAAAGTTAGGAGTGCATGATGACATTTTGTGGACACTTTACAACGTGAATGAGCAGCCTAAGGTGATTCTGTTATAAATTCATGTCTGGAAGTATGTCTGGATAAATGATTGAAGAGAAGGGTTGGTCTGAGAATAAAATGTGTTTAGAACTTAGTTTAAGAATACATAAGTGCCAGAAGTGAGATTTTCTTGATGCTAGGAAGTACAGTGAGCCCTCTGTATCCATAAATTGTGGGTCCACAGATTCCACTATCCATGACTTGAAAGTATTCCAAATAGCAAATCTTTGATTTTGCCATAACAGGCAGCCCCCAAGTTAGAGACATCCCATTTACAAACAGGTATGAGATAATTTTACAAACAGGTATTTGAACTGTGGTGCTGGAGGAAAATTCTGAGAGTGCCTTGGACCGCAAGAAGATCCAACCAGTCCATACTTCAGGAAATAAAGCCCGACTGCTCATTGGAGGGAAGGATATTAGAGGCAAAGACGAAGTACTTTGGCCACATCATGAGGAGACAGGAAAGCTTAGAGAAGACAATTATGCTAGGGAAAATGGAAGGAAAAAGGAAGAGAGGCCGACCAAGGACAAGATGGATGGATGGTATCCTTGAAGTGACTGGCTTGACTTTGAAGGAGCTGAGGGTAGCCATGGCTGACGGGGAGCTCTAGCATGGAGTTGTACATGAGGTCACGAAGAGTCAGGAGTGACTAAACAAATAAACAACAACAATGAGACAACAGGAAGTGTGGCCCCTTCTACACTGCCATATAAACCAGTATAATCCTGGATTATCTGCTTTGAACTGGAGTATATGAGTCTATACCACCATATAATCCAGTTCAAAGCAGATAATCTGGGATTAGAAACTGGATTATATGGCAGTGTAAAAAGGGCCTGAGAGAAATCTGCCCTTAGGAAGGGAAATTCACTCCTGAAAACTCTTTGGGTCTCCACTAAAGCTTTAACGCCAATCCTTGTTTCCACAACAAGCCAAATTTGTCAATATCTAATTATCACAGGGACAGAAAGTGAGGGGAAATCTTCCAAAAATGAACACAGACAGCAAAACAAACACCACAGGGGAATTAACCTTTCCCTCTGCTAACCAAGGCATGCACACGCGCGCGCGCACCCACACACATATTGAGTGACACTTTAAACAGGTACTTGTTCTGACTTACAAATTAAACTTAATAACAAACCTATAGAACCTGTCTTGTTCATAACCTGAGGACTGCCTGCATATGTAAGGGATACCATGTATTATGCTACTGTATGAGACTTACTGTGCTATTGTATGAGCATCTTTGGATTTTGGTATCCACAGGGTGGGGAGGCGGTCCTGGAGAGGCTCCCCATTAGATACCAAAATCCACTGTCTGTAATGATGCATTCAATTCTTGATTTTTGTATGAGGTGGATTGCATTCTGGTTGAAAAGGGAATATTTATTAATGCTACAGGGAACTGCAGAAAATGGCTAGGGGTTTTACATATGGAAGGAGCCTCAGGCTAACAATTAGAAGGCGCTGTTCAGTTGTTCTGTCTTTTTCTACTTAATTGATTTTTTGAAGTTTAAAAGAAGAAGATATAGTTGGAAAATTAGTGTACGTTTTGGAAGAAGGTGTCATAAATCCAGTAAATGAGACAGTGTTATGAAATTAATATAGTTAATTGTTATAACTCAGGGGGCTCTTGAGTATGCTAGATATTTTGAAATTTTTGTCAGAAGCAACGAGAAACTGCAAGTCACTTCTGGTGTGAGAAAATTGGCCGTCCGCAAGGACATTGCCCAGGGGATACCAGGATGTTTGATATTTTACCATTCTGCAGGAGACTTCTCATGTTCCCGCATGGGGAGCTAGAGCTGAGACAGGAGCTCACCCCACTCCCTGGATTCGAGCCCCCAACCTGCTGGTCAGCAGTCCTGCTGGCACAAGGGTTTAACTCATTGCACCACTGGGGGCTCCTATTTTTCATAGGCACTCATGTTTTTTGTTTTTTCTCTCTTTCTAAATGGAAGGCTGCTCTTATGCAGGAAGGATCTTTTACAACAATGAGACATTTCCCTCTGTTTTGGATCCATGCCTAAGTTGCATCTGTCTGGTAAGTACTCAGCTTGTTCTTCTCAGTCTGCAGTAATTGCTCCATCCATTTAACAGATCTCACGGAGTAAAGTGGACAGCTATGGAGAGTCCCCATAGACTAGATAATTTCCATTTCCAACTCTAACCCAGAATTGCTAACTGAGGCTATGTATGTGTGATTGTATGTGTGTGTTATCATTTCATTCTGTGGAAAACCCTAGTGGCATAAATATTTTACTGAAAGGCTTTTGGGGTGATAGGGCCCCGTTGGGCTCTGTCAGGCCACATGTGACTCACAGGCAAGATGTTTCCCATCCCTGTTACAGAGGAGAAATGATACAACATCTTGCCTGTGACAGCATGGTCAAGAAGGTAAAGGAATGTTCCCTACAATTTTAATTCATTGTAGTTAGTGAGATGTTTTTGTATTATTATTATTATTATTATTATTATTATTATTATTATTATGTAGAAAAGTGTAATAAACAAAAGGTTTTTAAAACGTTACTGTGCATTTGCTGTGTGAACATACTGAGAATCAGTCTGAGTTTGGGATAAAAATGTTACTGAGACAGAGTTACCAGTGAATGATCCCTTAATGGTCAGCGATTGCCCCTCTCATACAGAGAGTTGCAGAATCTGTGCCCTTGTAGATGTATTTGAGTAGAGTTCTTGCAGTCTCTTTACATGATCTGTCTGTCTCTAGCTTTCAGGATTTTTAAGCCCCAAACACCTGATGAGCCAAAGCTTCCCTACTCCTGTTGTAATTTGAGCCTATGCTTGGCAACAAGGCACAGACAGATCTCCCTGGAATGTGAAATCCATCAACTTTGTAAGGCAATTATTTTGTGCCTTCACCTCCTCAGTTAGATTTCATGTATAGAAGCAACTGAAGACTTTCTTGGGGAAGAGAGAGAAGCAGAAACGGGGAACTGACAAGCAATTCTTAAGTGCAAGAATTTATTCTGCACACCAGATATGTGACAATTGATCTGTTTCATATGAGGAATGCTAAGTTGCTTGTCTGCACCTATGTTTTACTACTTTTAAGACTGCATCTATAAATAAATATTAAAATGTGACAGGTTTCCTGTGACCTGCCCACCAAAAAGGAAGCCAAATCCTAGTAACCAAATGTCCCTGATGCTTTTACACTATTCAGATAGGTAAAGGTAAAGGTTTCCCCTGACATGAAGTCTAGTGTCCTACTCTGAGGAGGTACTCATCTCCATTTCTATGCTAAAGAGCCGGTGTTGTCCGTAGATGGAGGTGGGGTATAAAAATAAAGTTATTATTATAATGGGTGGTGTTACTTCCTCCATGTTTATGCAGGGGGGATGGGGGGATGGCAATGCAGTGACAGCCACTTTGAAGCTACTTGTTTCTGAATGCCCTGCTTCTTATGGCATGTGTGGATGGCATGGACAATTTTTAAGACCCTGCCCATAGGGCTTTGTGGCGTTTATCCCATCTCCCATCCTAAAGCCAGACATTCAAGATACAGGTAACTGCAAAGTGGAAGGCACCTCCTCTCATATTTACAATGGAAAGTACAGGATTTCCTGTGACTCTAGGAATGTTAGCCAAAACCAGCTTTGAAAATGCAGTTGAGACTGTGTACATGGTTCTGCTATTAAACCAGGACCTCTGTTCTCCATTCCTCTCCTTCCCCGATGCCTCCTGGGTGTATTTTTCTCTCTTTTATAGCTGGGCTCAGTGGCTTGTTCCCCTCTGGACTGCATTGTCTTTTGTACATATCCTTTCCACCCGGAAGGAGAATGCTGCCCAGTTTGTCATGGTAAGCATTATAATTTTAAGTGTTTTCCAAATTGATATTTAGAAGAGTTCGTTGTATATTGTTAGAGGGGAGTGGGTGCTGCTTCTGTACCCCATCTATCCTGTGCGTCATGCCAGAGAAAATGCTGTGCAGCACTGAAAATGAAGAGGGGTGTGTGCAATACTGAACGAATATACAGAAGAACAAAACACTGAGATATTATCAGTAATTCCCTGCCCACCCAATGGAAACAGGAACTGATCAAATTAAGGGCAAGATAAATTTAGTCATGATGTTGCTGGAATAGCGAACAGAACACAATAAAGGAAGGGTGAGCTGAAAGGCAGGAGTTGCCCTGCAAAGAAAATGCAAAATCAGTGTTTTTTTTGGTAACAAACAGCTAATAAAGGCACTTAAACTGTGGAAAACAGAGAAGGATGGAACATAAAGAATCCGTAATGCATTTGGCTGGCCACAGTGCTGTCTTGTCTCTCATGGAAAAGTGAATGAGCAAAAAGAATAACAATTACAGTTGAAATAGATATGGTAGAAGAATACCTTGCTATGATACCAGACTAGATGGCCTGTTTTGAACTATTTTCGTATGTTAATGAAAATCTCTTTTGTGGGAGCATGAGGTCCCCAAAGAGTAATCACTACGATAAAAAGGCCACTAGTTTTATTTTGCAAGTGCCCCCCCCCCCCGCATGTTTAACAATATATGTCTCATCAAAGTTGGTTTCCTTTGAGGAGAATAATTTTTATAAGTAAAAGGCGAAAGATTTATACGATCTGAAGAGAAACCAGAGTATTTTATAAGTAACTACCTATTGGAATACTAAAAATCCACAATGTATAACCCCCTTGTCTTCTCAGCTCCCACAAAAGCATTTATATCTTGGCTGTAAAGTAAAGCTGTGGAGCATTTAGAAGCGGCAGTCTCCAGTATGTTAGTTGCATTTTAGTGCTAAAGTTAGGAGGTTCTCTAATTTGTATGTATGGTCATGTCTCTTAAATGGGCCTGGATACATTATTCTGTCATTCAACTTCCCTTTTGTGTTGTTCTTCTTGCGCAGACTGCAATTACAAAGGGAGGAAAGTGGTGAATGGTCACAACTTTGTACCAGAAGGTGAACCTTGCATTTCTTGTACCTGCCGGGTAAGGCTCTCAGGCTCTCCTTCAAGCATGACCTACTCATGATCACACACTGGTGATGATTCCCCTCGTTTCCCACTGATCTAACATAAGGTAACCAATATGCCATATATATAAAGTTGACCTGTTGAATCCATGAAGGCGATCAGGTGGTCCATAGCCCATGCGTAGCTTAGAAAACAATGAATGCCGTTTAACTAGTGCACCAAGTTTTAAAGACTAAACAGGCATTTTAACCATGATAGATACTTGACAACACACACCATAAATATGATAATAGCCTGTTCAGAGGCCTTGGTTTCCTGACAGATGGAGAAGCTGCAGCAGACTCCTCAGGCTTGTGCATACAGCTCCACCTTTATTATTCTTCTTTTGTGTGCCAAAGGGGGAGATCTGAAGCTCTCAAGTTTGACATTATTTCATTTTGTCTCCAAACTTGGAACTTATTTTAAATCATGGTTTAAAACAAAGCATGGCAGAAATTGCACAGCCCACCAGATGTGTTTGAACCACAACTCACACCTACACTACAACAATATCTGAAGGGATGCAATATTCCCACCCCTGATTTAAAGCATTAGCAGGGAACAAGTGGTCCTTCAGATGTTTTTAGACTGCAGTTTCCATTCCCACTTATCACTAGCTAAGAAAGCTAGGGCTGGTGGCAGCTGCAGTGAGCTACAACAGAATCAAACTTTAATCCCTTTCTCTGGCATGTGAACCTAAGGTTAGCTGCAGTAGAAATCTGTGGTTTCTTATTACTGACTCTATTTGATCTTTTCTCAGTTGGGAGAAGTGAACTGTGAGAAGAGGGTTTGTCCAAGCACGTGTACTGCACCTTTTGACCCCCCAATACATTGCTGCCCTGACTGCCAAGGTAATGAAATCAGAGGTAAGCATGCTAGTCACATTGATCTAGGGAAGGGGTATGTGTGGCCCTGGGACCATCTGCAACACCCAAGCCTAGTTTTTCTGCAATCCTCTTTCCCTTCCGATTGACCAAACTGCTTTTTTTCCGATCAATCGAGAAAGGGAGATGGAGGGGAAAAAGGGAGGACTTTCCTGGAATCTGCAAAGGCGGATGATTTGTGTTTCAAATAAGCTTCAGGATCCCCTGTGTTTTTTTTTAACGTGTCGGCAGGGAACATAATGTTTACCTTCTCCCAAAAGAATTGCTAAAACCAGCCTTAATTCCCAAAATGGCAGTCTTCTGGGTGTACCTCAATCACTGATTTGGCTTGTGGCCCTTCTGATGTTTTAATCCCACCAGCCATCACAAATATAGATAATTCTTAACTTGTACATTAGCACACCGCTACAAAGTTTGTTTTAATATAATTCCTGAAGTGGCAGATTATTGTGCCATACTTAAAAACAGCAGAGTCCTATGCCACCTTGAAGTCCCAGATCAAACTAAATATATATATATTAGCATTTATTTAGTAAAGTGTCCTCTCAAATAGCAGAAGACATGTTTTGATCTCCACATGTTGCTGTCTTCAATCGTGTTTCTTATATTTACTAGGCCTTGTTTTATGATTACTCACTAGAAAGTAAAAAATTAGCTTAATTTACAACCTTGGTTCCTGCAGCATTCATTACTGAAGGAACCTCCCTGTGAAAGAAAAAAAGCTCTTATTCATAGTAAATATTTATTTATTTATTTATTTATTTATTTATTTATTTATTTATTTATTTGCTGTATTTGTATACCCCCTTTCTCAGCCTTACGTCTGTTAAGTCAAGTGTGGCAAATGAAATAATTTTATGGCGTATGCATTTCAACTATATGGTATTCAAGACCCTTTGGGTCCTAGTTCTGGGAGAAAAGTAGGGTAAATGAATGACTGAATGAATGATGAACATGATCAGGTACATGACCCTAGCTCTCTAGAGGCAAGAAAAGCCATGTATGCATCTTTTCATCTCATTGAATGATTCATCCAAAGATGGTAGTGTGTGTGCCTGTGAGGATGTTTACATACACCTTTGTTGACTGTAAATAGGCCATAAACAGAGGTATCACTTGAACAGTCCTTAGTCCAGTTTTGGTTATTTCACAACAGATGATGTGCCCTCACTGGAGAGTACCCTAAATGACTCTCACCTGGAAGACCAAGAGCCAGAGGCAGCCTTGCAATCATTCCTGGGACACTCAATGGACAGAAATTGTAGCCACTGCTACTCCAGCCCTTCACCTGCCTCACTCAGTCCAGAGGTTCATCTTGCAAGTGCTTTAGAGGTGCCACCTGCAAGCCCAACTGCACATGGGAATGTTGAGTTCCAGCCAACAAGACAAGAAGATCCCGGGAGGCTGCATCTCAACAGACCACCAAGTGTCAAGCCCCTTTCTTCTTGGCTAGGCTATTCTCCAATGACCCAGACAAAATCAAGGTCCACTGTACACATTCTGAATAGGCTGAAAAGCAATGGTTCTCCTTCCATTGGGCCAAGTGACTTCCCTGCAAGTCACCCTAATCTCCTTTCTCTTGGTGCAAAGTCCACTGAAACAGCTTTGCCTTCCCCTGCTGTTCATGCTTCCTCAAAGCTCAGGAATTCTATGGCTGTCCTCTTCCAGCCCTCAACCACCCCCAATCACTTCCAGCTGAAACTCGTTCCTCTTCAACCAGTGGCCCCCAGCCTAGCCTCTTCTCAGGAACTTTCTGGGAATGCATCCCAAATAACAGGTTCATCCACAGCCAAACAGAAAACTGAGGAGAACATCTCTACATCATCTCCTTGGGGGGGAAATAACCTCAATATTACTGATCCTTAAGTTGGAAGGAAAGCCAGGCTTGTTTTGATACAAAGGAGCATAACCACTTCAACCTCATAGGTGATGGAGAACCTGTACAAATAAGGTTGCCACTAGTGGTCTGAGCGGGCCCTGCCACTAGTTCTTCCTGACCCTATCCACTGTCTGCCTTCTTGAGGAGCAGGTCTTATTAGTGAGGGCATTAGTTCAACCCCAGCTAGTACTGAGGGTTTGAGACTTTGTGTGTTTACCTCAGTCATATCTACTTGGCCTTCAAACATGATAGGATAGTGTCTCTTTTTTTCCAATATTGGCATGAAGATTCCAGCAGGTGTGATAGGTCAAAAGACTATCGATCACAGTAGTAATCTTTTATTTTTAATGATATAGCACTGTCCTTGGTACCAAGAAAAATGATGTCTGCTGCCCACAGTTACATCTCATAGCATGCCTAGCATAGATATATTGCTAGTGCTTGCTGACTTATATTTGACATTTCAAGATGTGACAGCTCAAGGTTCAAGGCAGTATAAGATACACCACAAGCAGATTTTGACCCTGAATTATAAACAAGCAGCATCCAACAGGCTTGCATAAAAGCCAGTATGGGTTTGGCATGTAGTGGTCCAGCAGCTGAATCTTTCTATGTTTGCAAGAGACCCCATGTTGTTAAGAGACTGGAATGGGTGCAATGTCACACACCTCCTGAATGATCACTGGTTAATTTCTCAAACTGCTATAAAGCAGATAACATAACCACCCTACCTCAGAGAGCATATGTATACTGTACCAGCCTGTCAAGACTTGGTACTATGTCAGTTGCGACTTCCACAGAGCATCCTCAGGACTGTATTTTAAAGTTTATGCTAAGTATCCTCTGTCAAAGAGTTCTACTTCTCTTTTTACAGAGTTGCATTTCATGGTGCTCCCTAAGGAAGAGGGAATGTCAAAATGAGTTATATAGATATGCCTGTAGTGTACTGAAGCTGTCTTTAAGTGCTGTACTTAGTATCAAGGCAATAATGGCATTCTCCGATTTTTATTCCCAGACCTGTTGAATACATTCCCTAGTCAGAATTCACAATATCCCCAGAATTAGGAGCCATATTGACATCACTTGATGATACTCATCTGACTGTGTTACGACATTTTCTTCTGGTGTTTGATTTGAAATGTCTTTTTCAAACATGTGTTCCTTCATTTACATGAGCAATTGAGGAACATGTATTCTTAATTGAGTTGCCATGCTATGCTGCAAGATGTCAAAATCAGTTCTCAAACTATGATTTTTGGTATATTTTGTTTTCCGTATTTTATATAAAAGCTTGACATTACATTGCAGTTAACGTTTCCATTTGTGGGGAGAATATGATTCTTGTCTGTACAAGCTAAAGCTTATTTCAATAAATGTAACCTGAATTTCTGCTAAAATGCTATTTTTTAGAATTGAAGATCTTAAATGCTCAGTGTTCAAAATGAGGAATTTAAATGCAAAAGAAAATGTATTGTACAGAGTGAGATGAAGGGCTGCCTCTTTGCACATTCCAAACACAAACGTAGGGTATTCATTCAATGTGGCGCATTTTTGAGAAGATGTGCAGTTTTTCCAGTAGAAATAAAACAATTATCAGATGTTCATGGAGCAAAATTTCTTAGAAAGTGGCAGAACAATCTCCTCTGACAGGAGATAGCTTGTTGGAATCTCTTAAAATATGACAGAGTTGAGATTAAAATATTATTTCGTCAAAGTTATATATGCTTTTAAAAACCATTTATTTCAATTATTCCAGTTTGTAACTGTCTCACGGAAAATGTTCACCCTGTTTAAACCCTCTAACATATAGATCAGTGGTTCTCAACCTTCCTAATGCTGCGACCCCTTAATACAGTTCCTCATGTTGTGGTGACCCCCAACCATAAAATTATTTTTGTTGCTACTTTTGTTGCTACAGTTATGAATCGTAATGTAAATATCAGATATGGAGGATGTGTTTTCATTCCCTGGACCAAATTTGGCACAAATACCTGATATCCCCAAATTTGAATACTGGTGGGGTTGGAGAGGATTGATTTTGTCATTTGTAGTTGCTGAGGTTTTTAGTTCACCTACAATCAAAGAGCATTATGAGCTCTACCAACTATGGAATTGAACCAAATTTGGCACACAGAACTCCCATGACCAACAGAAAATACTAGAAGGATCTGATGGGCATTGACCTTGAGTTTTGGAGTTGTAGTTCACCTACATCCAGACAGAACTGTGGACTCAAACAATGATGGATCGGGACTAAACTTGGTATGAATCCTTGATATGCCCAAATTGAACACTGATGGAGTTTGGGGAAAATAGACCTTGACATTTAGGAGTTGTAGTTGCTGGGATTTATAGTTCCCCTACAATCGAAGAGCATTCAGAACCCCACCAACGACAGAATTGGGCCAAACTTCCCACACAGAACCTTCATGATCAACAGAAAATACTGTGGTTTCTGGTGGTCTTTGGCGACCCCTCTGACATCCCCCTCGCGACTCCCACAGGGGTCCCAATTCTTGGGTTGAGAAACGCTGATCTAGATAATTAGGATATCCAGAGAAGAAATGAGAACATACTATGAATTAGAAAATGTAAATAATGTTTGAGGAAAACATGTTTGCCTGAAAAAATGAAAAAAGAAGGATTCATTGCTTTTATATTTGTTTATTCTACTGTTAATAATGTTACAGCTTGGGGAAAAGAAGCATACTGACTAAATTTAGTTCCAAGAAATTAAAGCTTCCCTTTGTTAGGGAGTTGTTTTGCCAATGGATGGTGTCACATTTACGCCACGGGGGCCAAGCCAACCTGGTTGTTTGCTCTGTCAAAGACACAGTAGTACTGACGGATGAAGACATCTCCAAGGATCCAGAGTTCACCAGATTGAGTAGGGATATCAATGCCTTCAAAGCCAGATGTGCAATAGCCATTTTGGCCCTGGGAGGAGAAAAAGGAAAAAAAAAACACCCAATGAGTGATGGATCCGGTGTACTATGAATGTAATGTGAGTAGCTTTACTGACATGAGAGATTTGTCCAGAGCAGGGCTTCTTAAACCTTTTCTTCTCATCACCTCTTCCCACCTGAGAATTTTTTTCATGATCCCAAGTATATAGGTATATAAAAGAACTATAAAAATCAAACATTTGCTGATAATAAACCAGCATTTACAAGGCTTGCTAAAGGAGTTGATTTTCCTTTTTGCAGGGTTCAGCAGTATTTTGTTGCTAGTAGATTTGTGTAAATGGATAACATTCAGAAACCTTTTACTGTTGCCATATTTTTCGTAACCCCAATATTGAGCTAAGGGGACCCCATTTGGGGTTGGGGGCCACAGTTTAAGGAGAAGGGTCCACAGCACCTAAATCAGGAGCAGAGATTATGTGCTTCTCCAAAGGATGCTGGATCTACAACTGCCAATGTTTCTTGCTATGCTTGTTACAGCTGCTGAGAGCTTGGTCCAACAAATCTTGAGAACTACATCATTCCAACTCCTAATTTAGACGTAGGATGATACAGGTAAGTCAGATTTGGACTCTGTGTGAAATCAAAGCAGTCCCATAAATAAGATGTACAAACATTTGTGCACCAAGCACCAATTTTCTCCCCATCAGGCCCTTCCTTGCATTTAACCATGTTTTATTTATGCCTGTGTGACATGATGAGACATTTTTCATGGACATAGGCTCCCTGCAAGTACAATCAATTTATACGATTGCACTGCTCTGTTAAAATGGTCATGTTTGAATCTAAGGTGATAAACTAAACTGAAGTGTGATGGGATATTCATTGAAAATGAGATTCATATGGAAAAATAAACCACTCCATATTCCACTTGCTACTACTACTACTACTATATATTGACTGCGATCTAAACTTGGACATGAAACAAATCTTGTTCTTAAATATTTATATTTAAGACAATGAAAATTTCTTGAAATATTATGGAATTCCTGGTCTGCTATGAAGCGCTGAAGCAGACTATCAACATTATTTTTTATGTAAGAAAAGATCAGGGCTATAATGTGCCCAAAATGCTTGATTACAACTGTTTATTTTGGCCCTTTCATGAATTCATGATACTTCTCCCACACATATTTCTGAGGTCATCCTAGGTTAGATAGTGCAAAGCTTGCTAAAGGTACTCTTTTGGACTAAAACCCCAGGCTCCCCAATCAGTACACAAATTGTAGTCCAAGGATTCTTTCCAGTCTCCCAGGTGAACCAGGACTCTTACCTGACGAATGTAGGCACTGGCAGGCAGAGGGAATTCAATGCCATTGATGGTGAAGATAAGGTCAGGCAGGCTGCTCATGGAGTTGCAGCTGATCATATACTGGTGCAGAGTAGAAGAGACAGAACAGAAATATTAGTCACATGAGACTACACATTCAAACATAGGAGCAAAGGAAAAGATTTAGCTGTCTATTCTGGATAAGAAATTAGTCCAGAAGGAAAGGTCAAGGGAAAACATAACTTAGGATAATGGTGGTGGTGTCAGTGTTGGAGGTCCACATCCCACCTCATCTTTTGCTATCAAAAAACCTCCACATCATTTGCTCCTCCTCGAAACCTTCTGGAGCAACGATTCCGCATTTTAATAGGTTGCAGCCTTAACCATTTTCCTGGTATTTTTGGCAATGTCTACAACCCACAGAGGTTCGATTACAGAACATTGGCCCCTGGGCTCATTAAAGTCTCCTGCCCTAAGTCAGAGGGCTAATTCCTAAAGGAAATAGGCAAAACTCAAAGAATTCCAGTTTCTGGGAATTGAAATCCAAATATTATAACTTTTCCAGGCTCTGGTTCTAGTTTGTAATGAAATTCTCTAAAGTCAAAGAGGGTCTTTTCCTTGCTTCCAAGAGAGAAGCAATATTTTGAAAAAAAGAAAGATATCTCTGAGCATTGGGATGGGAAAGGAGATACTGGGGTGGGGATCACCAGCTGTTGTTTCTTTGTTTTCATAGAAAGCTTCCTACTGGAGATATTAAGAAGGAGATATTTCATTCCAAAGAGATGAAACGCACACACACACAGCAAGGGGCCATGCAAGTCAAAAAAAGAGATGGTGTCCAAAATATAATGTCACCTGCTATACTTGGCTTTGCAAGCACTGTCAGCAATATTAGGCTAGAGAAAGCCATTTTTGGGTGGCAATTGCATGCTCATTATGGCTAGCTAGTGGAAATAACTTTGTGTAACTTCAATGTAATTTGAATGAAATCATATTTCCTGGAGGGAGAACAAGGTTCTCTGAGGAAGATGTTGAGAGCTTCCCTAATAACAAAAAAAAATTAATAAGCATTGTGTATTTATTTTCCAAACCCCCATTTTCCTGTATAAGCCCTTACCACCATTCAGAAAACCTCCAGATTAAAAATATACAGTTATTATGTCATTCCTCACAGACATTAGAAAGATTTCTTCGTACAATAAAGACAAATTACAGGAAGTCAACAAATGAAGAACCACTGCACACTTGCATTTTTCATTACCTTTCCTTATCATCTTGCCTTGCATGCATAATGAGTTAGTAGTAATAATTTAAATAAACACATGAAAAAACCCAGTGTTTGGGTTAAACCCCACTCTTTTCAGTTTGTGCAGCCGTCTGCCTATGAGTCCCAGGTACCTCCCAAAGCCTTGATCATCCCTTTCCTTACCTCACCGTTGGAGGACTGACTGGCACCAATGTAGTACTGAATGTTAGCAATGCCATTAGGGGGACCAGCCAACAGAGAGGTACCGGTGTCAACAATAGCTTGGCAGCCACCAGAGCAAGCAATGGATTGGCCATTCATGGTGATGCTGAAGAGAGAAGGGTCACATCAGTGTGAAAGAAAGGAAATTGCCACCTTTTTTGCTCACAATGTGCCATTGGGGAAACTTAGGGGAAATGTGCCAAGAAGTCCACTTATCTTAGAGGATAACAGTGCTTCTTTTTGGAGCTTGTTACACATTACCTTCATCTACTTATTTTGTGGAAGTCTCCCCTCCCCTCCCCCCCCCCATTACATACTTCACTCTTTCCTTCTTGATATTATGTTGATGAACCAGGGAAATGATGAGGATGGTGGGAGTTCATCCAGAGTCAAATGATGGTGGTTACCTGTCCAGAGTGATCTGCCAATAGGACTCTGAAGAAAGAGGCACCCAGTTGAGGCTTCCAGAATAGTAGGAGGTATCTACACCACCAAACATGACAAAGCTGCCACTCTGGTCATCACTGCGAAAAGAAAATACAGTAAACTGCAATTGTCATTTCAGATTGTTTGACCATTCAGCCCTAAATGCTTTGGCAGATGTTCTCTGATGTTACCAAGTCCAGTCTCCAGCCCCTGAAGGAATTTTCACGAGGGGAGGAGATCCTTTAGAAGTGAATATATAATCATGTGTTTAATGCATTAAAAAGATAATGGAATAGTTTGCCTGCAATGTTGAGAAGTAGTGAAGAGATTACCACAATTTATTTATTTAATTTTTTGAAACATTTCTATTCCACCCTTCTCAGTCTGAACGGGACTAAGGGCGGAGTACGGCACACATTCAATGCTGGAACATAAAATAACTACAAATATACACAAACACTAAAATCAGTTACATCTACTTTAAAATCAGTTGATTAAAACCATCTCAAAACACCATGCTGGCTCCGGTCAGCGGAGTGGGTTTTCTATTATTTCAATGTCTCAAAGGCTTGGTCCCACAGCCAATGCTAAAGCATTGCATTCATGTTGCTAGTATGCATTTCTGTCATTCCAACTACAGAGCTAGAGTCATTCTTTCTTTGAGGAATGCTCTGCAAAATAGTGGACTACTTGGACAAACTCTCTATTTCACCCAAACCTGGCTAAATGTATGTAGTTGTTGTTGAGGTTACTCAAAGATGAAGTCAGATCCAAATATTTGAAAGATGCTGCTGTGTGTAGTTTGACCCTTACAATGGGGTGGAAGCAGGCCTGTAGCCAGGATTTTGATTTGGGGTGGGGTGGGGGGCTGAGTTTGATTCGGGGGGGGGGGCTGAGTCTGAGTGAAAGAGGGTCTGCCCTAGCAAACCTTTTGTATCGTTACCCCAATACCCCCATGCTTATGGGATATATTGAGCATAGTGATCAGATCATGATATGAATAAACATAACAGTTTAAATAATGTACCAGTAAGGCCTTCTCACGGACTACCATGAGAATTTCGGGGGGGGGGGGCTGAAGCCCCTCAAGCCCCCCCCCCCTCCCCCTGGCTACATGCCTGGGTGGAAGGAATGGCCAAATACCAAATACACACTGTGTCATCTAAATGATTTCTTTTACTGTTCAGTTTCTTTAAAAAAAATGCCAGAAACTCCTAACTGTATCCATCAGCAGTAAATTGTGGCCACATCTCTTTCCAAGAAGATGTATAGCAGCAGGCCATACTTACGAGCTCAGGTAGACGGAGAAGAGATCCTGGGACACCAAACCTTCACTCATCATGTTGTCAAAGACAGGGGTGGCACCAGAGGAGGCAATGCTGGGGTAAGCCAGACCCAGGATGCCATCGAAGGGAGAGTAATAAAGGAAGCTGCCAGGCTCAGTCTCACTCAGACCAAAGATCTGGTTTGTGACCACAATGCTTCCAACCTAGGTAGAAGGGCATAAGGACACATAAGGAACAGGGTTGTTGTAAGACTTAACGCAATACTCGCATATTGTGTATGCAATGTTAAACCATAAGCCAGTGGTTCTCAACCTGTGGGTCACCAGATCTTTTGGCCTTCACCTCCCAGAAACCCTAACAACTGGTAAACTGTCTGGGATTTCTGGGATTTGTAGGCCAAAACACCAGGGAACCCAGAGGTTGAGAACCACTGCCATAGGCATATGCTATACACACAACCACTCAGTCTTGTCCCCTTCCCTCTTCTTTTCCTGACATACATCACAAAAGGATGCAAGAAGCATCAATTTTCTTCTTTTCAATAGGCCACACTTTATCGTGTCTGAATCTGGAACTGTGGGTAAGTTAAACTATGATTTACTGAAACAAACCAGTATCAGAAAGCAAGTTTTGATATTTGTTTCAAGAAAGCATAAAGTAAACTACTTATTGATCGTTGTTAGCTCTATCAACAAATCATAACTAATTTAAACAAATGTGTATAGTCTCCTTTTCTATAACACATTAGAAAAGGTAGATGTAGTCGTATATGTTGATTTAGTTATTGATTTTTTAATTGGGGAAATATCTGATAATTCTCAGATTATAATCCTTTATTATAAAGTATAAATATAAAATTATAAATGAAAGATTATAATTTTTCATGGGACACAGTTTGAACAGTGGTGTTCTCAAATCTATATAAATAAAAATGTAATGTTCGTTTGTTGGATTAACAGAACTCAAAAACCACTGAACGGATTGACACCAAATTTGGACACAATACACCTATCAGTCCAACAAGTGACCATCACTCATAAAAACACAGCGGAAGAGACTTAAAAAGCCAAAAAAATTAAAAAATACATTACAATGCATGTGCAAAACCACACACACACACACACATATATACACACAAAACACATGTACACATGTACACAGACTGGACCACAGCAAAGTGCGGCAGGGCACAGCTAGTCCTAAATAAGAATGAAATCATATTTTTATGTCTCAAGGAAATTTGGTTATTTGATCTCCTGGGTGCAATGTGAATGTGTTGGACATTGTTAGTCAGACATGGAGATTATGGCTCCAGAAGGTGAATGCCACACAAAGGTTATGCAGGGTGGGCACTGATGGACATTTTACTGATGGCCCATAACTGTACAAGCAAAGGACTATACAGCATCTAACACAAGAGAAAGCATGGCTGACTTCGGCTTGGCATTGAGAAGGCTTAGAATTGATTGTAATGGTTTTGCCAGAAGTAAAGTTTTAAAGGGACTCAAATGTGTCTTATATAATTCATTCATGCCTGACACTGTATCTTCCATGCCTCCAGGTAGATGTTACTCTTGTGTATCTGCCTAGAACCATGCTAGCAGTTTTTGCTCCCAAATTGACTGCTAGTGATTCTGTAACCCCCTGCAGTTTACCTGGACAGTATCATAGGCCAGGAATCCAGTCATGCTCCCAGTGCCATATGTGACAGAGACGCTCTGGCTGGTGGCTTGATAGGTGGAAGAGTCCTGGGGGTTGAAGCGGTTGTGGTTTGCTGCAATGCAATCAGTTAGGCCATGAGACATGTTGAGCAGCTCTCACCGTTACAGTTACAATAATACAACAACAGTGTAATTAGGAGTTTTGCCAAAGTAACAGCCTAGCAGAATTCTAACTTCAGATCCCACCTACAAAAACTAGCTGGATCGTGAATGCACACATGTGATGTAGTTCTATACTGATTCTCTTTGCTACTACCCAGAATCATTCCAAGATATTTTGAAGCCTAAGGTCTTAAAAAAAAAAAAAAACCAAGGCGATGCTTCTCCTATTTCATGTACAACATTGGTCAACTGTTGAAACTTTATTCAACAATGAAGATTGGACAGCGTCCTCCGCTACACCTAAAGGCAACAATCTAGGTTAGGAATCACAGGGCAGGCTCTCTCCTCCAACACCGGAGTACTATCAGTATCTGCCTTGTGAGGCAATAGCTTCCTCACAGTAGAGAAGGCCATCCTGCCCCTTCCCTAGAGCCGTCACAAACACTGTTCCTGCGGGAGCAAACCTTGCTAGCACGTCCCTGACGTCATGAGACTCCGCCTCTCGCCCCTCCTCCCCTTTCTCCGCCTCTTTCTCAGTGCGAGCGTGGTTTTTCCTTTGCTAGGGCAGCTTTGCCAACTCTCTCAGTTGGCAGAATTCAACTGAGAGAGTATGCTGGCAATGCTGCCCTAGCAAAGGAAAAACCACTCTCGCAAGGAGAAAGAGGCGGAGAAAGGGGTGGGGCAAGAGGCGGAGTCTCATGACGTCAGGGACGTGCTAGCAAGGTTTGCTCCCGCAGGAACAGAGTTTGCGACGGGTCCTAGGGTTATGCTAGGTGGCCACATACTCATAGAATCATAGAGTTGGAAGAGATCTCGTGGGCCATCCAGTCCAACCCCCTGCCAAGAAGCAGGAAAATCGCATTCAAAGCACACACACCCCCCCCCCCCCCCCGATGCC